CCAATCTAATAGCGATAGCCTCCAAGCTAATAGCAATGGCCTCCAACCAGAAGTGGCCTCGAACCTAATGGCGCTTTAAAGAAAGTCAGAAAAGCTGTTCTCTCATCTCACCTCGTAAATCGCCATCGGCTGCAGGAGGGCGGTGTTCACTTGCCCGCGCTCTTCCCTTGCCTGCATCCATGCTTCGTCACCTCAACTTGCGGAGTCCCTGGTCAGCCCTTCTCGGTTTAGCTCTCAAAGGCACCCAAGTAGATGACAGCAATGCTTGGTTTGAAAGCAATCTTCTTGAAAAGAAGACTGCACTGAATTCCAATCGAACTTCCCAATCTTGCTGAATGCGCGGCCATCGACCAACACGTCGCCCCGCACCTCTGGTTGGTACAACCGCCTTTGACCGTTCGTTGACCGCACCAAGAGGCTCCACTCGAAGGGTTTGGCGCGATAACTGTCGTCACAGCTGCTGATCACCGAAGCATTGAAGACCTCACAAAAGCCACTCAAAAGACACCCGATCACGCCAAAAAACACCCGATCTATCCCGATCTGCTTTCTGCTTTCAACTGGGAAGGACGGGAAAACAGACTGCAACCAACTATAGGACTGGGCCCTGGAACCTCAGCCCTGGTGTCGCGGGGCCTTCGGATGAGACATTCGGATGTTTCCTTTAGTAGCTTCTTGTTCGTAGTAGTAAGGCCAGGAGCCCCTAGTAGCGTCCGATCACTCCTAGTAGCGATGCCCTTTGCTCCTAGTAGCGTCCACGTTGCATTATCAAAAACCTCAAAGGGTCCAAGCCAAGAAAATGGCCATCGCCTGGCCAAACACTCGCCATACTGCAGGGCGCAAAAAACGGCGCTGATCCGAGCTGCAGGGCTGTGGTACAAGTCGCTGGGCACTTCCATCTCTTGGGCATAGGGGTCCATCTTCACCAGATCTGTCCCCGCCAAGGTATGGATCTTGAAGCCATACCTTGCGTGCTGCGAGAGGTCGTCAAAGTAGTTCCTATGGTCACAGAAGTGTCAAGAAAGGAATCAGAAGCATCTCACTGTCTCTTACTCTTCATGATGTGTTTTTTGCAAAGAAATCATCGTTAGCTCCCATTCACTTCAACTCTATATAGGCTAATAATAATATAAAAGCTCTTAATGAGAAGATCAGGACAGACAAACAACCACTAACTGCCCCACACACCAAGAGGCTTCTGGCCAAAGGGGACGTCAGAGAGTTCGCCAAATGGCACCTGGCAGGTGAGTCAAGCATCGAGTCCCACGTTCTGCTTCACGCCATGGAACACCGGTCACCACCGCTGAACCCATCTCAAAGATCTCAACCTCCACCATCCCATGGTCGACGGTTTTTGCTGCCACAGGCACAAAGATCTCCCAGAGACCACAAAAGCCACCATCTTTGCCCGCGCGAAAGCGCTTCGCCATCGGACAAGCACGGCCGTCCCAGTTGTTCCAATCTCCTGGCGACGCAGCGAGACGCGGAACGAATTCCCAGTGGGAGTTGGAAGGCAAAGAGCGCTTGAAAGTATCAACGTAGCAAAATACTTGGTGAATTCACGCGGCTTCAATCATGTGGGGCTCTGCTTGAGAACCAGGTTCCAAGTCGACTTCTTGAAAGTTCTAAGTTGACTTTGGAAGATGTCCGAATCCATCAGACTTGGCTTCTCCAAAGAACCTCCCTCGTTTGGGTCCAAACGTCCATCCCTCCATCTCCCCCGCTCCAACCACGCTCACGAAGACCGCGCGCGGAGCCCAGGTGGCAAAGCGAAGGCCGTAGACTCCACCTGAAAATGCCAGGAGCAAGTAGTAACAAGTGCCTCGCTAGTAGTAACAAGTGCCTTACTAGTAGTAACAAGGACGCTAGTAGAAACAAGTGCCTCGCTAGTAGTAACAAGTGCCTTACTAGTAGTAACAAGAAGCTATTAGTAACAAGTGCATCGCTACTAGTAACAAGTGCCTTACTACTAGTAACAAGAAGCTATTATCTTATGGAACTTCCAGTGTTCTAGTGTGAGCGGTTGCATGTTGTTGCATGTTGTTGCATGCTGTTGCATGTTGTTGCATGCTGTTGCATGTTGTTGCATGCTGTTGCATGTTGTTGCATGCTGTTGCTGAAGCCAACATCTGGAGTGTTGGCTGGTGATCTTCCAGTAGTTTTGGGATGGAATGGTTTGACAACTACATGCTTGATTTACAGGGTAGCTTGGTCGCGCAAGTCGTCGACCTCTTGAGGAAGCCGAACAAAAGTGTGAACTTCACATCATCTGAACAGTGGATGATAAATGTTGCTTCAAGGTAATTATGTCAGATAGGCCCTAAACTGCCTGGCAAAAACAAATGATACAGGTAAGGTATATAAAGTATTCTTCCTTGATTCCCTGGCAGATTCCGCTTGCAAACGAACATCTCCACCAAGATCAGTCGAACCAACCGCGCCGCTCGCATCCGCTCGCATCCGCTCGCATCCGCTCACCTGCACACACGCAGTGACACCCCAAGGCATCTGCGACGTGCAGGAAATGTCCGCTTTGAAACTGGTCGATCTCCACCTGCACGAGACTCGGCGTGCCGTCCCCTTTTGATTTCATCTCTGACAGAATCCACATCTGGTCGAGCGCCCACCTCTGCAAGCAAGAAGCCAACATAGCCAAAGGCATCATGGAGAGGATGATCCTCGCCAGGTCAGGTGAAATCGGTGAAGTCCAACCAATCACCTGTGGAAATTGGGTTGGTGAGTTTAACTTCAGACCTATCATTCTCTTCAGGCTGAAAGATCTGATCGAGTTCAACTTTCCCTTGGTGCTGATTGGGTTTGGAGCTCTTGTCGGCCTAAAAACGTGGCCTCCCCTCACCACAAAATGTCACAAAAGAAACACACTGGCTCACTGCGCGTACACGGCATGCACACTGCTCACAGCGTCCTGCTCAGGGATCAAGACCTGATATCTGGGTAGGCGCAGCACCTCGGCACAACACTTGTAGCAACGCACGCCCCACAAAGCGCTCCCGACGTCCTATATACGACGTCCTGCCAGCAAGGGACACCTCCCACAGGAGCTTGGGCCGCGTCGTCTTCGTCCGGGATCCAATCAGCCTGGCGAATTGACTCACGCAAACGTGATTCTCCCTTCATCCCTTCGACTTGGCTCAGGCACCATCGCGCTGCGATTTCAGCCACCCTTTCATCCCGAACTCACTGCCCCCACCGGCAGTCGCAAGACAGCTTCATATAGCCAAGCACAGCGTCGCCGCATGGGCACCGGCCTGGGGTCACCAAACTTTAAAAAAAGAAAACAATCTTCTTTTGAGTCACTAATACCGATGGCCTCCAACCTAAGAGCGATGGCCTCCAACCTACTAGCGTCCAATGGTCCTGCGGGGATGTTGTCCCTCATCTTCCCTTGCTTGCTTGTAGGGAAGAAAGAAGACGCTATCTTTGGCCTGTCTCAACTGAATCATCTTGGGGGGTTTGGCAAATGCCTAACTCCGGGTCATAGACAATTGACAGGATCCAAACCAAACCCCCTCTATGAATTGCCAGCAAAGGCATGTGCTAGACAAACCATAGCTGCCATAGCAATTTCCTGCAGCCCATCAGTCCCACCAGCCACCGAAAAAACTGGCATCTGCCAAAGAGGCGGAGAAACACCCTCCAACTGCAACAGAACCTCCAAGTCTTCGGCCTCCCGCAAGGCAAGGGGCAATCCGAAGATGAGCCGCTGAGAATTCGATGTTGGACTCCAAGAGATCAAGGAGAAATGATGCTTTTGGCCACCATGTTTTGCTTTGGGAGGACAGCAAAGTTTACATTCCCTTTCAAAGCCCACTGACTATGCATTCAAATCTGCCTGAGAGCATCTTTTGGGTCGCAAAGTCTCATCGGACTTGCAGCCGCGCCGCTGCCGCGCCTCCCAGTCCCTTTCTAACGACTGGTGCCAGACGCGGAAGACAAAGAGATCGCCCTCTTCATTGCTCTCATGGCTCTTGAGCCTCCCATTGCAATGAATCGTCTCATTATGAAACAACTAACTGCCCCTGGGCAAAGATCTTCGTCTTGAGGATGAAAGCTGTTTTAGGTGTGCGTGCTTCCGAAAACCATCCCAGAACCCGTGCTTTCCAGCCCCCGAACTTCGAAGGGCCTGTGACAGCCGAGCACCTGCCGCGGCTGCGCATGATGCGCCACGTGGAGCGCATCCACCTCCGCGTCACCGAGGGAGGCGCCCTCGGGCCACTCGGTCACCGGGACAATCGCCATGGGAACCCCATCGGGCGATCTGAGGCGATCTTCGAAGTCACTGCGATCTTCTTTCTACGCTGCTACATGAGGCCTCCAAAACCATGTCAGGTTGGGTCCGCTGAGCTCCAAAACAGAATCGTGTGGGTGGGGTGGGTGCTGTCCGCTGCGCCTACGCCTGGCAATGCTCTTCTTCCAAGCCAGCTGAAAAAGCACCCGGTTCTTACTAGGTTGAAGACTCCGCTCGCTGACACCTATACTTTCAGACCTGTCTTGCTCGAGCCAAGTCAGCTGGAGGGCCGGATGCCCTGGAGCCCCCTGAGCGATCCAAAAACGAAGCACTTTGGGCGTTGCTCTGACCTTCCCGGGCACAAGAAGTTTTGATGGCCCAGAGCTTCTTGAGTCCCCAAAGTCACACCAGGCTACCCAACATCCTCAAGTTTCTGCCTCATCTCCTCTGCATGTTCCTGCAAAAGCCAGAGAGCCAACGGATTCAATTAAGCACTTCCTGACGGCACAACTTCAAGTTGCAACAAACATTCCTCTGTCTGTCGAAGGCTGGACTTAAAGTGACTGCACTTAGACCCTCAACCTTCTGACACAGACTCCAACGTTCGACCCCCTGCGAGAGGAGTGCAATGCCTTCTGCGACGCCAAGTCTGCTTTCAGTCTCGTCACGGCTTGATCGGCCTGATGTATGCAGAACAATCACTGAAGAATTGCTTCATCAGCTAAGCTGTGAAACTGCGGGAAAAAAGATAGCCATGGTCATTCTGATCACTCCTCCTTGCGCATTGTCGATATCTGACCCTCAAGCTTGCGCTTTTCAGCCTCGCAACCCAGAATACAGGCACAGCCACGCTACATAGCTAGAACAAAGAGGCACATTCAGACAGATTCGGCGAGTAGCTTCCCCCTGTCAACATAAATATGCATGTACTTGGAATTGGTGTTTGATGTCAGCGCTGCCTTCAGAAATTTAGCTTCTTGTTCAGCCTTTGCAGCGCTGCTCTTTGACTCTGCTTCCACCTCCAGCACACAATAGCCAATATTCATTCAGACTAAACGTATTGCAATCCGCCAGGCCTTTTCAACCTCTTCTTTCAACTGCTTCTCAAGCGTCGCCCGACGTGCCTCAACACCAAGCACGACTTCCCAACTTCGCGATATGCGCAGCTGTTCGTGTGTGGCTGTTCGGCCTGCTCCGCGTCTAAGTCATTGGTCAGAAGCTTCATCCTCTCGTCGGCCTATCGGGGTCAGACACCCAACCAAACCCTACCTCAAGCACAAGAAACAAAATACATACTGATGCTGCTGGTTCTGCACCACCGATGCTTGCAACAATGACAACTAGTCAGCCAGAAGTCTTTGGGTGCCTCTTTGCGCACAACGGATATCTGACTCTGAAGCTTGCGCTTCTCAGCCTGACAAGTACTATCAAAAGAGCCTATGGCCTATAAATTCCCGGAATAAGTAGACAGCAACACCTACAGTGTGCAACAAAGTACTGGTAGGCATGGCCTTGAGAAGTTTAGTTTCTTCTGCAACGGTCAAAGTCCTGCTCTGCAAGATTGCCTCCACCTCCAGAAAAACATGCCAACATAATCCACCCTGCTGAGGATATGGGAATCATCAAGCCTTATTGACCTCTTCTTCGAGCTGCTTCTCAAGTGACACACGTAGCTCCTCAAGACGCAACCAAGGCTGTCATTACCATGTCCAGCATTTACATCAACCGCCACGAAACTATTCCAACGTTGTGAGTCTACGAATTTATGAAGTTGGCCTTCTCCGACTTCAAATCGCTGCTCAGCTTGTTGATGCTCTCCTCTGCCTGGCAGAAATCTGTGTGGCACATGCAACTTGCCAACCACAATGGCACATCAGCCTGGGAGCCTAAACAACATCTTACTGTAGTGTTTAGGGCTCTTTCATCCTGGATGCTTGACAATGAAACAAAACTCAACCCTGTGTTGTGTTTACACTCTTTGCGCCTTCTTGCGCACGACGGATATCTGGCTCTCAAGCTTGCGCTTCTCAGCCTCATGAACTGCAGGCATGCATGGGTCATTCTTATGAGCCTTACAAAGCGCATGAAAGCGCAACATTCACAAAGCAAGCACGCTGGCGCTGCCTTCAGAAGTCTAGCTTCGTCAGCAGCCGAAGTCTTGTTCTGCAAGTCTGCCTCCACCTCCGCAAAAGCATTGTAGCTAGGATTGGAGCAGCCTAAACATAGCAATCAACCCAGCCTTCCCCGCGTCCTCTTCCATCTGCTTCTCAAGTGACACACGTAACTCCTCAAGACGCAACCAAGGCTGTGATTACCATGTCCAGCATATACATCAACCGCCACGAAACTATTCCAACGTTGTGAGTCTACGAATTTATGAAGTTGGCCTTCTCCGACTTCAAATCGCTGCTCAGCTTGTTGATGCTCTCCTCTGCCTGGCAGAAATCTGTGTGGCACATGCAACTTGCCAACCATGATGGCTCATCAGCCTGGGAGCCTAAACAACATCTTAGTGTTTAGGGCCCTTTCATCCCGGATGCTTGAAAATGAAACAAAACTCAACACTGTGTTGTGTTTACACTCTTTGCGCCTCCTTGCGCACGATGGATATCTGGCTCTCAAGCTTGCGCTTCTCAGCCTCATAACTGCAGGCATGCATGGGTCATTCTTATGAGCCTTACAAACCGCATGAAAGCACAACATTCACAGCAAGTGCGCTGGCACTGCCTTCAGAAGTCTAGCTTCTTCGTTAGCAGCCGACGTCTTATTCTGCAAGTCTGCCTCCACCTCCAGAACAGAATTGAAGCATTGTAGCTAGGATTGGAACAGCCTGAACTTAGCAATCAACCCAGCCTTCCTCGCGTCCTCTTCCAGCTGCTTCTCAAGTGACACACGTAACTCCTCAAGACGCAACCAAGGCT